ATCGTTGGCTCGATGATCGTTGAAATAGCCCGTGTAACCAGAGTATAATACCGCTGTCAGACGGGCACATTAAAAGGCTTCAAAAGAACATATTGAAATGTATCGGCGAATTAACTCGCGATCTCGCACTTATCGGAGTTTGTTCTGAAGGCCTTTAACGTGCGCGTCTGACAGCGGTACAAGACTGTTGAGTTTCGAGTTAGCTCTGTATGCGTTCTATCTTCTTCTGTTTTTTTTTTTTTTTGTGCGCTAAGCTTACTGGTTTAGACGTTAAAGAGAACACATTTTGAATGACTTGAACTATTTTTTTTTTTCGAAGAGATTTATTACAGAACTTTCGTAAAAGATGCACTAATACGGTTTGTGCAGGTTAGTTATACGGCCAGGGGGACATTATGTGGGTGGCTAATCTCTGCGATAACCCAGATAATTAACTAGACTTCCTTAATTAACTTGTTAGTTAGTAAAATATTTATATGGTTTCGATTAGAAAGATACTGAGCGTAATCGAGAACTATATCAGTCACTTTTACAACGACTTGAAGCTCGTGGGACACTCCGAGGCGCACCAAAGTTACCACTCCTGCTGCAGGCGCAAAGCCAGCAGTGGCCGAACGCGATGGTAATCTAGTCATCCGCTTTTTGCCTTGCAGCAAGTCCCTGCACAGATATCGCTAGAAACATGAACATATATTTTGCCTGGTTCATTGTTGTTTTTGGAAAGCAGTGCTGGCTGCTGCTATCTGCCGGCGTTGCACGTGCGAAATATCTTTATCGCGGTTGATGATAGGCTGTTCTGCAGACGGTACTCTAGGGGTGTTTATTACCCAAAACACGTTTCGTGCATTTTCGTTTGGTCCAATTTCCTTATTTATGAAAGGCACGATTTCATTCGCTTATCTACAGCTTTGTTGTCTATGGTTTATACGGCCTTGTGTTATAAAAAATATATTTGTAATCTTGCGATTCGAAGATTTTTTAGTGCGTCGTATTATTTGACGACGTGGCCAAGACGGAGAAAGACACGCAATGACGGTATGGTAGGATGTCCATCTCAACGTTCTTAGCTCTGTCAGTTGACAAGTTCCACGGAAGAATAAATTTCGAAAACGCTTATTCTCTCTGAGCCGAAAAACTGACGGAGAGAGGAGACGAGAGAGCGCGGGTTCGTCAGAACGCCGACCTCTGGTTGGAAGGATTAGTGGGGAGACCTAAAGCTAGCTGCCTTTGTGTCCCCGGCGCTCGTCGAATGCGTTAGAACCCAAGAGCCAAGCTCCGGACGCCGGCGTTCCGCGTTCTAATGCGTTCGACGAGTGCAGTGGCATATCCTCCTCTGTACTCACAAAGCCTGGAAGTTCCACAACGGAGCCATAGAGTGCCCGCTCGCAGAGTTGGAGCGCGAGGATATGGATGCACAGAGCATCAAAGAGCCACTTGTCGGGGAACCGAAAGCTTGTCTATAGGGGAACCTGGACGTCAGCGCGCATCTTGTGCAGCGGCGAGGACCCGAAACACGCGTGTTTGCTCGGGAGAAGTGTGTTTCGGTGTCTGGCCGCAGCGGGGCGCCAGTCACGTGGCTCTCTTCTCATCCGTTGCCTGCCGCTCCATTTTTCCTATTTCGGCGGCCGCTTCTCGCGGCGATCTGCCAGGCTTTGTCAGTATATGAGAGGCTACGGAAGTGGAGACAAAGGCTGCCGTTGTCTCCACTTCTCTTCTCGAATACGTTCGAACGGGAATCCAAACGCCGCACTCCGGCGTTCCGCGTTCGAACGCGTTTGACGAGTGCAGGGAACGCAAAGGCAGGTAGCTTTAGGTCTCTCCACTAATCATTTCAACCAAAACTCGGCGTTCTGATGAACCCGCGCGCTCTCGTCGCTCTCGTCTTCTCCTCTACCTCAGTTTCTTGGTGCACTGCCTGCACGCGAGCAGGCAAGGGCATACAGTGTTCCAAGCGCCTCCGGCGGCAAAGCTACTACGGGCTAGGATAAGGACCGTTTTCTAACGACGCTTTTTTGACACAACCTTCCGCGCAATATTTATGTTAACCATGAAAATCCCCATAGAGTCACTTCCCACCGTACGCAAGGTATTCCCAGCGTTCCACCTGTTCCGCCGCTTCTGTTCATAACGCGGTATGATAGCGTAGCGAGCGCCACCGAGCGGAGGCGCCACGAGACGGTGCCAGACATTCTAGGAAACTTTGCAACTGACTTTGATCGGTAGTAAAGCTGGTCTATCTACTCTTGACAAGGTAGCGGCTAATCCGAATGGAAAAGAGCTTTCCTAACGATGCTCTCAAACACGTTTCACGAACAATGTGTTGTTCGCCTCGAAAGCGTTGACGGCGGTTTTTTGTGCCGAGATCATATGGGACGTCAGAGAGTGAACGTTTCACCGTCAGGCAAAGCCGAACGTTGAGGCCAGCATAGAAACCTTACAGCTTAAAGAAACAGTCTAGAACTTTTTAAAATCAAATTTGGCGTGGTTGCCGGGGCGCAGTCAAATGCTCTGATTCCCTTAACTCCCTTCCTGCGTTCTATACAGGTAGAAATGGAGGGAGAAGATAAGTCGAAAGCGCGCGGGGTCGTCAGGGCACCGAATGCTTGTTAGAATGATGTGAAGGTCGACTAACAGCTAGCTGTCTTCGTCTCTACTCACTTTTCGAACGCGTTCGAGCATCGAACGCCGGCATCTGGCACTCGGCTTTTGCTTTCTACCATGTGAGCAGAGCCCAAGGCAGCTATAGTTGTGCGTCCACCCTCTATTCATCCCAACCAGAGCTCGGCGTCTTGAGCTCCCCGCGCGCTCTCATCTCCCTCTCTCCCGCAGTTTCTACCAGTATAAAGGCCGGTTCAGGCACTTGCGTTTCAGTGCGTTTGACTTCGTTGCGTCGGGAACCGAAAGCGAGTCAGCGGCACATTTGTGCTTCGTAGGAAGCGTAAAATCCAATTCAAGGAATCAATTTGGCACGCGATATAAGCAGCAGGGATGTCCTGATTTCTCGCAGCCGCAACGCAGTCAAACGCAGTCAAACGCAACTGTCTGAACCAGGCTTTAGACTCTACGGTGCTACATCGGTGCTACATTCACTCAAAGCTGACAATGCGGTGGGAGCCACGTGTTTTTAGAGCGCAGCTCTTAGGCGCCCGTTTCCGGCTTGAGCGGCGTCGGCGTCGCCGTCGGCGTAACCGCGCGGTGCATTATGGGTAAATTTCCCCGCTAAATTTAGCGGAAAAATTTTCCCGCTAAATCTAGCGGAAAAATTTCCCCGCTAAATGTAGCGGGAAACTTTTCCCGCTAATCGGAAAAATTTCCCGGCTAAAGCTAGCGGAAAAAATTTCCCCCCTAAATCTAGCGGAAAAATTCCCCCGCTAAATCTAGCGGAAATATTTCCCCGCTAAATCTAGCGCAAAAATTTCCCCGCTAAATCTAGCTGAAAAATTTCCCCGTTAAATCTAGCAGGAAAATTTTCCCGCTAAATCTAGCTCAAAAATTTCCCCGCTGAATCTAGCGGAAAAATTTCTCCGGGGGTCACGTGACCCCCGAGGTCACGTGACCCCACATGACCTTGGGGAGGGGGTCGTGTGACCCCACCAAGGTCACTTGACCCCCCCCCCCCTCCCACGAGAACACGTGAACCTCAATACCCTTCCCTCCTTCTTCTCAAGAGCTGCGCTCTAATTCGGCTTTCATTTTTTTTGGACCCATCCTTCGTCTATCTTCCGCCAAGTGATCGCGCACCAACCCCACGCTAGGGTGGAGGTCAGGTGATTAAACATATGCGGTCGATTGGTCCGGCCACTGTGCAGCTCCCACCGCTCTGACAGTTGAGGTCTGTACGGAGTACACCGACTCCGTTTTGTCTTACGATGAACCGCAACGAACGCTGAGCGCCATCCTAACCAACGTAATGCTGTCAGCGCTACGTTGGTTACGATGGCATAGTGTGAATGTACGATGTCACTGCGTTCCCTGCACGTCACTGCAGCCCTCCTGTGGACCACGTGACTCTCACGCGGCATCGCATTGGCCGGGATGGCTCGTAGCATCCTCTGTGGTTTATCGTACAAGGTAAAACGGAGTATAGCCGCGCACAGAACCAATCAAAATGCAGCGTTTCGGTTGGCCTTGGTTCGCCTCTTTTACGCCGCTTCCTGGCACCCTCTGCGGGGGTCAATTGACTTCTTTCGCGATTCCTCCCGCTAGTCCGGAAATGGAGATGCATGTGTTCTCTGTCGACGGAAGGGGAGGGGCAACGTTTTTTTATTGTTGGCCGCACAGCCGGTGGTGTTCGGGGCAGCACGGCGGGATCGGGCGGTAGTCGGCACCGCTGGCAGCGGACTCTGTGCACGCTGATGAGCCTAATCACTCGCTGCGGGGGCAAGCGAGAAAGCCTAATGCGGGGTTGTGCAAGGGGGATAAATGTATGCGGGAACGAAGCGCCTTCTTCCTTCTTGCGTGCGTTCAAGGGTGGGGGAAGGTGAAACGGTACAGTTGTGCGTAGGATTACGTTTTCAATACCGTAGGTAATGAGGAGTGTCGACATTCGGTTCCTGCTAATGTGAACGTGGGATGCTGTGTTGCGTCGGCTTGTGCCATCTTCGAATTCGTCCATGGGGGTGAAAAGAAGGAAGAGGAAAGGGTGGGGAAGATGTGAGCTTTACGCTGACAGCGTCTGGGGCGTCTGGAATGGCTAGCTTAATTGGTAAGCTACAGTTGCGATCAGAAATGATTTACTAGGCATGCAAAGCACTCTGGTGGCAGGCATTTTAGATTTGGCCCATTTGTGAAACCTCTGGAAGAAATCGTGCTTTGATTTTTTTGTTTCTTCAAACTTTTGTTTGCGGTATTTTAACCCTGTAATAAATGCTACATTAAAAGAGCAACGGAAAATACTGTTTCAATGCCCGCGTTTCAGTGCGTTGTTCGCGGTCTCGTCTTCTTGTGTTTCATTGACGACCGATTTTGAGCGGTAGATTGGCGCTTGTCTGCGCTTGCAGGGCAAGCGAATGGCAAGCGGCACGGGCTGCCCGTTCCAGGCGGGGAAAGCCTCGACCCCAGCCGCCGGGGTTCCCAGGAAGTGGGGCCGACTCCCGATGATCTCTACACCGCCGTCGACGCCTCGGACGCCTTCGTGGTCGTCGATGAAGGGTAAGTGACTCAGCTTTTTACTCGCAGATAGATCGCAGTCTTAATCATCGCGGAAGCTTCTTCCTCTACATATATTGTTAGAATTTTGAATGGACATGGTAACGAAGGCCGTTCGTGCAATCACTATTGCGTGACGTAGGTGAAGCATTTTAGGATAGCAGGCGTACAGCTCTTTTTCGATGCCTGATTTATACGATGCGAATCTGCTTGCGATTTAGCAGTTGTGCACGTCGCTCGTGCTGCCAAAGAAGCGTGGCAGTAGGTCCGGTGCTCAACATCCCGCTGCGAAATTCCAGGCAATATCGCACCACTTGACTCACGCATGACTTTCCCCTGTACAGCGGAGCCATCAGATTCTATCTTAAGGCTGTTTGTTAAAACCCCCGCAGTAGACAAAGTTCTTGATTGACGGACTGAGTACAATTTCATAAGCTGCGACTATTTGAACAAATGTTGCATGGTTGGTTAAACATTTTTTTTTGTGGTTTTGTTATTCATTCTTAAGGTACAAAACTGAGCGTAATAAGTTTTTTCAAATGAAAGAGCGTTCTTAGAAACTGCACAGTGATAAGAAGATAATGGGGGTGAATGTGTACCAGGCCGAACTTCGCTGTAATTGCTTCATCTCAAGGCTGGTTCACACACCTGCGTTGGTTGCGTTCGCATGCACCCGAAAGGACCGTATCGATAAGGTCACTGGGAGTGTTCGCCGTACACAGCGTGGCAAGCGATTCGAGGGGTAGCTTCGCGAAGTAATTCACGAGTCCCGGTTGCTGCGGTGTTTTGGTCGTTTCGGCCGTTTCGGTTGCATGCGAACGAAACCGTGGCAAATGTGGGAACCAGCCTTCACCGGGGGGAGGGGGGGGAGGGCGCACTTTTGAACCTGGTTACCGGACGTCCTATAGTCACGGGGTGGGTGGGGGGGAGGGAGGGGGCGTCCACCTCTGACAGCACCCTGCACCCCCCCCCCCCCCCCCCCCCCTTCGCTTTAGGAATAAATTGAGAAGGCGGGGGGGGTGCTACATAAGACATAGAAGCACCGGGTGCTGGTAGCCGAGCTACGCCACTGCTCGCCCTTAGCGACAGCACGTAGCTCGAAGCATCCGCGGACTGGAAAACCCGACATAACCCATCCCTTTTAAAGAGCCAAGAACACCTTCACTTCTTGAACTCGTGTAAAGTGTCACTCTCTCATCGGCTCACCAGAAGAGAAGTAACCTCGTCTCCGCGTAAGGCAGCAGATAAAAAGTGCATGAAGAATCTGAGGCTAGCGCCTGGGCGTGCATTGAAGACCCTAATTTGCTTTCAATTGGCCGCAGAGGCGCCGTGAACTCGGTTTTACGGTGAACCCCCGTGGCCTTATCGAATTATCGGCACTCGGCCACGACGTAAATTAAATTTGCCGCCATTCTTCGAGAACACCAAGGGCGGCTGCAAACGTGCTATATGTTCCCTTTTACAACCCTCGTTCTCTTGTTTCTTCCTCAATTTCCCTCTCTTCTTTCTCCCGGTAGTGTTTAGTGGCGTACGGTCCATTAGCATGTCCGTAAAGCGCTCTGGAACGCTAATCTGGTCTGTACGCCGAAACGGGCTTTTGACGAGACGGAGCTTTTAGGGGCGCCATTCTGTTAGGCCCGACCCATTGCAGGGTTTCATATTGAAAGTTCGGAAGCATTCAATCTAAAAGTTTTTTTTTTTTTTTTTTTTTTTTTTGCCAGGCGCGCGACGAGAGGTTGCTTGTCGCAGGTGGATGAGGGATCGGTCTAATGTAATTTTAAACACACCGAGAATGTCTAGTAAATCTAATATGCATAGATATATTTAAGTAAAGTTTGGTCGATCTAAATAAAAGCTGACTGATACTGGTACATATCCCAAACGAGCTCTAAATACACTGCATTCATAGGTCAACTTTGACATCACAGTGACATCTAATGTCACTGTGTCACGTGACGTTACAGTGTCATGTGACATAATACTGTCAGACGACGACTCTCACGTTGGTGACGGTTTTCCCGTGGCAGTGTAACTTCATCGACGCTGCATCCCAGTCGCGGACACAAAAACGCTATACAAGTGCTGGCCCTATAAGTTGTATATATTTAAAGCACGGATTATTTTTTTTCTGAAATACGTAATTAATTGAGAAGGAGTTTAACGAAGTACAAAGCACGAACGGGAATAATATTAAAAAAAATAAAGTGGGCTGCGTTGAAAGCGCGATCCTTCCGCGTGCATGCTCAGATGATCATGATGATGCGAATCATCAAGAGCTTATTGGGGCGGGTTTATGCAAGATATCAGTGTATAAAATTTATATATCTAATGCGCTGAACCAATAAACGCCTATACATGTAATGAAATAAAACCAGAGAGAGAGAGAGAGAGAACTTAAACAAATAAATGAAGCTTCTTTACCATACCAACGCCCCAGCCAGACCAAGAGATGTGGGCTAGGCAGGAGTTTTGCCCCCAGCGTTAAGAATACAGTCGCACAGAAAGAATATTGGATATGCAGATTTCCGTGTAAGACTAAAAACACTTAACAATGTTTTTTTTTTTTTTATTTCACCAAGGATAAAATAACGTTTGGGATAGTTAATTGGCCGGGGGGGGGGGGGGGGGGGGGCAAATCGTTACACATGGTGCCGAATTCTTTTCTTTTTATTCTCTTCAAATTCAATGAATGCTGATCGCAGTATCGGTCGTCCCCTTTGTCGCGTGTTTCTAACCGTTCAGAAGCCACCAACACGCGCGAACAGTGCATGTTTCCTCTAATATTCGACTAATGGTAAGCAACGTTATGTCTCGACAATACCTGATGTGACGTCAGGGAATTTCAAGCCACTCTCGTGTAGTTTTTGAGCGCAGCTCTTAGGCGCCCGTTTCCGGCTTGAGCGGCGTCGCTGTCGGCGTAACTGCGCGAAACGTCGCAGTCGGGACGTTTCCCATAATGTGAAACGTTGGCATCGCTGTAAACGCGCGTTGCATTATGAGACATTTCCCATAATTTCAACGCGCGGTTACGCCGACGGGACGTTCGGCATAATGTGACGTTTCCCATAATGCGACAGTGACGCTCCCATAATGCAACGCGCGTTGAATTATGGGAAACGTCACTGTCGCATTATGGGAAACATCACATTACGCGAAACGTCCCATAGTGCAACGCGAGTTGCATTATGGGACGTTTTCCATAATCAAACGCCCGGGAAGGGAGGAGGAGGAGGAGAGCGGAGGAGGGAGGAGGAGGGACGAAAGGGGAGGAGGAATAGGAGGAAAGGAGGAGGGTAGGAGGAAGGGGGAGGGAGGGGTAGATGAGGAGTTAGGATGATGAGGAGGGGAGGACGAGGAAGGGAGATGCCAGCTACCCGTTGGGCAAGCAAGTGATATCACCACTCATAAATCACAGAGAGGTCCGTATGAAAACGTGGTGTACACGTTATCCAAGTGGCCATGCATACGTGGGTAGGGGTCTGTGCGGTACCCATCAATCTCTGTGGCACGTCAGACAAAAAAGGTTGGGTTGTGTGTATGTTTATACAGCCTAGAACTTGGTCTGCCTCACCGGGAGACGAGTCTCGCAGCTGTAGATGGGCAATTTGGTCAGTACAGTACAACCGCTAGCCTGGGGTCTTTAACGTGCATCACGCAGTAGTGATACACACACGCACGCCGGTACGATGCTCATCCAGATCGAAACGGGCAGGGGTGGGGATTGAACACTGGATCCTGGGTTTACGTCAAACGAAGTTGGTGGACTTTGTGCCGCCAAGGTCGACAGCGGTTTGCTCGTGGTAACTCTGCATCTCTCGCCTACGGCACTCACCGAATATTTGGCGCTAGACAAAGAACTTCATAGTAGTCATGCAGGAAAACATTCCATTGGCCCCGAGGAACGTGCACTCGCTGTTCTGCTGTGCCATCTCGGGGACCGCGCGCTGAAATCCAATGCCGAGGAAATCAAAAACGCAGAGCAGTCTTTGACACAGCTGACAGCAATTAGAATGACATCGAGAGTATCACGTGCTTCCTCAAAGTGTTGACTTTAACGCTGTCTCGTTCTCCCGCCTTGATTCTGCTGTACGGTTTCCTCGCACCAGGAGAACCTAAAGTGAAGCTTCCCGATGTGAGAACTACATTTCGTTTCTCCGGACAAGCGGTGAGAGAGAATACCAAAAGGCTCCGCCAATTTTCGGCTTTCGGCGGGTTCCTGGAAACTTTGATTCTTTGATTCATTGGATTAAGTACGGTTCATTCATCTGCACATATTCGTTCATATATATATATATATATATATATATATATATATATATATATATATATATATATAAAACTGAGAAGAAAAAACCCTTAGTGAAAAACAGCAACAACGGACGATTTAATCTTCGACGTTTCGGCCGGAGTCCGGCCTTCGTCAGGAAGAAGTCTTCTTCCTGACGAAGGCCGGACTCCGGCCGAAACGTCGAAGATTAAATCGTCCGTTGTTGCTGTTTTTCACTAAGGGTTTTTTTCTTCTCAGTTTTATACCCACGCCTTCGGCCTCCCGCCACCATGCCCGTTATATATATATATATTGTGAGGAAGCTCAAGAACAACACCCACTTCATCTTCATTATGATCATCATCACTGCCTTTCCCAATTATTCTATATTCACTTTCTCTTTCTCTGATCGCCTCGAGCACGGGCGTCCATGCTTGGATTTTCCCGAGAGCAGTCGCTCAATAAATCGGTCCCCGGAACTCCTCATCTTGTCCTCACAACGTGGTGGAGGTGCTTCATTCTCACAGCCCCGACCTCTGGCATATCGCTACAATCTGGAGCTGCGACATCGGACGCTTGCTACAATTACCACAACCTCGACGTCAACGCATATGCCTACCACGTCTTCTAGCACGATGACTGACAACGTGCCGATGCCAGTTTCAACAGCGGCTGCGTGGACTGTCCGAAGTCGGCAACGTGACCCCAAAGCCTTCGCCGTTCTTCGGGACGAGGA